CATTAAATCCAACAACAACAACGACAAATAATAATAATAATACTAATAATGGTCAAGATGGATCAACTATTGAAAGCAATCATTCATCACCTGTCTGGCCAATACCATCAACATCGTCATCATCAATAGCAATACCAGTTAGTACAGGAAATGGCTCACATCCATTGGCTAATACTGATTTATTTTCTCCTGAACCATATTCAGTTGCAGCTATGGCTGTATCACGTTATGCTGATGATCTTTATATGAATTGTTATTCAACAAAAATGAATTCACTTTTACTTGCGCAAGCAGCAACAAATAAATTAAATGATCCAGCAAATACTTATAATCGTAAATTTAAAATCGAAAAATTTCCTATTAAAAAAAAAAAAATTATTATTTTTGTTTTCTTCTTATAGCTTATTGTTATCCATTTGATGAACCACGAGAATGTGTTAATTGTGGTGCAGCAGCATCACCACAAAATACACGTTGGAGTAAAGATGGTAGTGGTTTTAATTTATGTAATAAATGTGGTATTTATTCGTCTCGTACGCATAAAATTCCAACAAATTCAACATTATATACAACAGGAACTAATACAAATGATCGATCTATTCGAAAGAGTGTAGATATTTTTAAAAAAGTTTAATTTTTCTTTTTGAAATATATATACATATTTTTTTTTTTTTTTTTTTTTTATTTAAAGGGTACACTTCATCGTTCAGGGAATCAATGTGCAAATTGTTGTACAACAGATACAACATTATGGAGACGCAATGCAAGTGGAGAAAGTGTTTGTAATGCTTGTGGTCTTTATTATAAATTACATGGAGTAAATTTTTCGATTCGTTTCTTTAAAATTTTTATCCTACGAACAATTTTTTTTTATAGGTTAATCGACCAATGACATTAAAGAAAGATGGTATTCAAACTCGTAAACGTAAATCAAAAAAAGATAAATCACCTAAAACAATTGATGTTACACTTCTTAATAAGAACAGCCGTATATTTATTATTCTTCTTATTTGAATTTTTTTTTGTTACTTGGTTTTTTTAGGACGAACTTCTCCAACAATATCTGAAGCAGCTGCATGTTCATCTGAACATCATCAACAATCAAACCTTGATTTATCACCACCACCACCACCATTATCGCAAACAATGCCAGTACCTTCAACAAATTATGCAAATGGTTGTACACCTGATAATCTATTATTTTCATATGAAACATCAAATCCTCATCATCATTTTTATAATAATTATTACGCACCATCACCACCTATTAAACAATTAGCATCACAATATGATTATCATCATCATCATCATCATCACCATCAACAACAACAACAATCACATTATTATCAAGGTCATCCATCACTTTTTACTAAAGTAAAACATGAAAGTCAACCATTATTTGCTGCCAATGATAATTCATGGATTGGACAAACGAATTTTGGTGTATGAAATTAAATTTAATTATATACAGATGTTTTCTTTTCGTTGTTCACGACTACTCATTGTCAGATATGTGTTTTCGTTTTTTTTTCTTTTCTTCTTATGTACAGTTTTGCTTGTTTTGTTCTTTTTTTTTCTTTGCTTTTTCTTTCTTCTTCTCTATATTTTGTATAACAGCAAAATACACGCAAAATCATTGTTTAATGATTGTCAAGCATGTTAAATTAATAAGTAAAAAGGAAATTAAATTAATCATAATTTTGAAATATTTGAAAGATAATCCATGTCGTACGCTTGTTGGTACTACCGCCGATATACATCGTAGTACTACTTATAAGAACCGGGATTAATGCTTATAACTTTTAGTGTTTTCTACTCAAATCTGAATTATTTATTAGAGAGATTTTCAAATTAACCGAGAAGGACAAAGTTTCAGAATATATTTTACAAATAAAAGTTTTTACAATGTCATCTATAATAAAAGTTTAGCTCGCTACTGGGGTCGATTTGAACTCTGTGACTAGTATCGGCGGGTCAAACGCATCAACAATATCAGAATAATGTGACAATAACTTGGTTCTGTCAGTTTCAAAAGACTTCAAAAATATTTATTCGTTTTGACAGAGTACATCATGGTTAGAGTCCATCGGATTCAAAATTTTTGAATCCAGACCCGATAGGACGGATCCGAGCCCGACCTGACAGGCGCACACATGGGAATGGATAGTCAAAAGAACTTGTTGTTATTTGATATAGAAACTTTTCTTTGATCAACATATGTACTTTTAAAATTTGTCAATTATTTTAATTAAAAATATTCCATTAATAAATATTGTGATGATGAATATTAAAATTAAATAATCTATGCTTTGATTTTAACTTTTGTTAAGTTTTTTTTTATTAAATATAAATATTATTATTGGACGGATTAAGTACGTGACTTTATCTTTACTTTATAAAATAAATATGAATACAATCTTTATGTTTACAAAATCAAGAATAAAGAAAGATTTCTTTCTGTAATAGGTAAATAGACAAATGCCTAGTATAACAACTGGAGATGTTAATTAGCATCTTTCTTATCATCAATATCACTTCAATATGTTATATTGTTAAAAAATGGAGGTGATACATTAAAAAAATGTATGCAAAAACCTTTTTTGTATATTTTTTTTATATCTCTATGATATTATAAATTCTATTGTTAGCTACTTGATAAAAATTAAAAATTAGATTCTCATAAAAAAGAATTTCTTTATTACAAAGGGTAATAAAAATAAAGTAACATCCTTATTATGGATTTCAGACTGGTTGGTCTCATTTATATACTTTGCTGCTTTTATTAGATAAAATTATGTAGAGAATTGTTTTGGGATGTTAATCACATCAAATTAGAATACTGCGCGAATACAACTTTTCTTATCCGACTTGTCGATTGCAGTACTTTACATCAAATGAGATTATCTAGAAATGGAAGTGATGCTGACGTTAGGCTGACCGATCTAATCTATTAGAATAGGTACCGATCATAAAAAAATCAGACTGGTTCTAACAAGTGAAGCATAATAAACAGGACAAAATGTTTTCCTCTCTCTTTAGAACACTTCTCCATATATAGTAAAGATTGTGTTTAAGTCTTATTCGATAGAAAATTGTTTACGCTACAACGCTGTTAACTTTGTTTTTACAAGAGTTTTTTTCTTATCGATGTTAAAGTAAAATTTAAAAAAACCTACCCCCTACTCAATTATCAAAATGTGATCTTCTCTTTTATGTAAATATCTATCAATTAATGGAAGCATATGCTCTTCACTTCGGATCCTAAAAGTAAAGTATTTAGCATCAGTACATAGAGTTTTGTGTTCTATATCACCACGACTTTTTCAACGTTACAATTACTATCTTGCCGGAAAAAGGCTTTAAAGTAACATCTGGTGATGCTTTTCTGAATGCTGCTTCTTGAAAAAGGATGTGTTTCAAGAGGAAAAGTACGCCTATGGAACGTTTGCTTCCATGCCATCAAATGTAAACTTTAATTCTAAATAAAATGATGTGATTGTAATGTTGAACAGTGTCAGAGGTTTTCTCACGAAAGAGTTTTTTTTTCGCTTAAAGTTTTTTCCTAAAATTCTAAAACATACATTAAAAGATGCCGAATTTCATGAAAAAAATTCTAGTGTATTTGAAAATTTCAGCAGAACTGCTATCAACAACGTTTCATCCATTATTTCTTTCTCTAACTGTCGCAGTTTGACAGCTGAGTAGGAAGTGTCACCGTTTAATCCATTGACGGCCAACTTATTTTTAGAACAAATAAAATTCTATTGTTAACATAATATGCTTTAAAACTTATTGACGATGATAATTTTTGCACTTAGATTTGATTTTAAAATACAATACTGTTATCAGTTGCATCTACAGTGAGTATCAAAATTATTCAACAAGGTTTATTTTCAATTTTTTTTCTGTTACTGTAAACGTTAGAAAAAATTCAAATAGTGATTCGAATAGTGGAAATGGTTTCCAATAAGAGTATAATGAAATAAAAATTATTATCAAAAATGGAGACTTCAGAAAAACAAAGCCCTAGAGCGGTTGAGATACAGTAATTTGATTGAAGGTCAAAAAAAAAATGACCTTTTTTATTATAAGAAATTAGAAAAGAAACGGCTGTGAAATCTTTCATAAGATTGCTGTATCTCAGCTAAAAAACGCCGAAGAGAACTCGGAGACGCCTCATCTTGTAGAGAATTATTTATTCTATCGTTCTATGTAGTCTAAACAAAAATTATATTTACGTGCACTAAAGTTTTGGTTTTCTGAAGTCTCTGTCTGTGAGAATCTGATAATAATTTTTCTTTCTATATATTCCTTTTGGCAACAATTTTCTCTATTAAAATCACTATTTGTATTCTTTCTAACGTTTAAGGCAGCGAAAAACTAATTGAAAAATAAAGCTTTTTGAATAACTTTGGTATTCACTATATATCAGAACATAATGAATATTGAAAAGACATGTTTTACTATTATTTGGCTTTTCTGTCAAAGGATTAAATAGTGTATATCGAAATTATTTACTTCTATTCTTGATCTTAGTTTTTCTTTTTTGTAAGTAAAAAAAAATATTTAAAATAACTTTAACTGACAAGGATGATCTTGAAATCCCCATTGAGAAATTAACTTTTTCTTTATAAACATATTTGATAGAATTACCATAATTGTTTTTTTTTTGACTTTATATGAGAAAAATAATAATATTATAAATTTTAGTTTTTGTATCAACGAAATTTTTTATATATGTAAAAAGATATTATTGTTATGAGGAAAAAAATATCAAATGCATTTAATATGATAATTCAATATTTCTCAAGAAAACAAAAATATCTTGTATGAAGCATTAAGATAGATCAAATAATATGAAATTATTTAGCATTATTGAAAAAGGACATTATGTTTCTACTGTGTTGACGAACATTTTCTTGTTTCAAAAAAAAAAAGGAATTCATATATCCACAATGATAGGTTTTTGTTTTCATATTCTTAAAAAGATGTCATTAGATTTAACCAAATTTGGGTATACCAGCAAACGCTGATGAAAATGCCCGTCTACCAAATTTTGGAATGCCATGAAATAAACTAGCCGATAGACGTTTATATTTTGTGTCGTCATCACCAATGTCTTGTGAACGATCATATTCATCGTCATCATCATTACAAATTCCATAAACTGCACATAAGATTTCTAAATGATAGAATTCATATAATGATTTTTTAAAAATTTTTATGTGGTAGATAATTACTTGTATTTGCAACTATTGGTTCGATCATTTCCGTTTGATCATGAATTTTAGTTGACAAAACTGATGGTTCATGATGTTGATGTTCATCAACGGATGGAATAGGTGATGCATAACAGTAGAAACTTAGAAGAAGAAGATGAAAGAGAGCCGAATAATGACAAAGTTGCTTATTCATGATGATTAATGAAAGTCTTTGATAAAAGAAATTCAGTTTTATTTATAAATTAATTATATTCTAACCTATTTTGATTTGTTCGTGTTTTCCCAGGATTTATATCAATAATCTAAAATCATATAGAATTTAATATATACGACTTTTCTTTTTGTCTGTCTTTCGATTCTATCAGCTCGTTATAAAATTAACTGAATGACACGTAGACAATGTCCCTTACTCATACAAACTATGATCAAATCATTCCTATATGCATGTCTACTAATATTGAAAAACATGCTCCTACATGCAATGCCAGATTAAGAACATTCTAATCAACGGATTGATCTGCCTCGTAGAACGCTTAGACTATATACTAGTTTAACATCCGAATTCATTGTATCGTTTGTCGTTGACAGAAGAGAAATATAATTATACATGAGAGATCTTCGATCATATAGACAATAGGAAGTTGTTATAATTTTGATAGAAAATAAAAAGAAATAATGGACGTGAGTGGTGTAGTTTCTATACAAATTGTCAGATTTTTTATAGGCATGTCGAACAAAAAGACAAGGCAAGAACATCCAAGCATAATAATCATTTTATATAATAAAATTTCATTTATTTTCCGAACTCGTATAAAAATAACGTACTCATTCATCCTATGTAATTACTGTTAACAAAGAAGGAAAAGGGTCGTTAAGCAATGACATCGACTCTCTCACGAAATTGAGTTTCTTATTTCTCTAATAGTCAATTCGAATACTACAGAAGTCAATTATCGTTCAAATTAGACAGTTACACTTCATCTTAACTGGGTCCAGTTGACTCAAAAATTGATATTATCGATCTTCTCGAGAGTTATACAATACATCGTTTATATGAAAAGTTTATCTTCCTTCTTCAACTTCTTTAATTTGATTTATATCAAAATGAAAACTCTATCCTTTCTTCTTTGGATGACGCTGTTCCTTCATATATACAGTGTAGGAGTATCGATTAAAAAGCGGATGGTGTGGACTTTCCTTTTCCAAAAACGTCGAAATTTCGGCAAAATTTTTTACAGGTTCGTGAGGAATCATAACAGAAAAGAAATCTTAGCTATGCTTCTGATGAATATTCATACAAAGACGCTTTCTCTCAGATAAAATACCACATGAAGTCGATGATTTCAATATCTGCTGTTCCATCTTTGCTAGAAAGATGAACGAAGAGACTTTCGGTTAAATTTTCAGCCACTCCTACCCTTAATAACAATTGAGAATTGTGATATAGAATGAGAATAACAATAGCGAAATTTCCCATCTATTGGGCTGTGAGAATCACGATCCCTTTTTTAATTACATATTATTCAATAGGCTTTTCAAAACTCTAAAAAATGACACTACTACACGTCGAGCTTAAATGGTATACAAAACACTTTAGTCAAATGCACAATGTTCATAAGTATCAAAAGTTACCTATTTTGATTAATATCTAATCGATTTTAGTCAGAATATTCCGACATTCTTTCGAAACAAATGATATATTTGGAATTAGCATAAAAAACTGAGTTGATCTATATGTATCATAAAATCCTTCGACAACTTTTATTTTCGTTCAAAAATTCAGTCTTAGTTCCCTCTCAGTGTTATATCACAAGATAAAGTCACGCGAAACATCATTTTTTATTATTTATTCATCTGTCATTTTCAATTTTAATAGATTGTAAAAAGATTTAGAAGTGACCTTTCACAGTTAAATTGATGTTTTGACTGACTTTATTTTTCGGCGTTAATCTTAAGGAGAATCACACAACTGAATTTTCGAACAAAAATAAAAGTTGTCGAAGGATTTTGTGACATATACAGATCGAGTCAGTCTTTTATGTTGATTTCAAATATATCACTTGTTTTGACAAGAAGCCGAATTATTCTGATCAAAGCCGATTAAATATTGATTAATTAAAACAGGCAACTTTTTACGTTCATGAACCTTATGAGTTTGACTAAAATGTCTCGTCTACAAACTAAACTCAATGTATAATAGTATCATTTTGTAGAGCTTTGAAAAGTCTATTGAATAATATAAAAATTCAAAGTGAATCAGGGCTTTCATAGCTCAACAGGTGGAAATTTTCATAATAACTGTCCTCATATTGTATATGCGAAGGAAAAGACTAATATTTTGTCATACTGATATATATCATTCTATATAGGAAACGAAGAGCTTTCATTTGATATATAGGTCAAATTAAAGGAGTTGAAGAAAGGAAACAAACTTTCATATAAATACTGCATTGCATAAAGCTATAGAAGATCGATAATATCGAGTTTTGAGTAAACCAAACACAGTCAGAATGGTGCCTAACTGTCTAATTCGAACGGTAATTGACTTCTGACATTCGAATTGACCATTAAGGAAATAAGAAACTCAATTTTGTGAGTGAACCGATTTCATCGTTGAATAACTCCCCTGTTTTTATCACTTATAAATAATGCACGTACTACAAATATTACAAATAACTTACACTTAAAAAAACGTGATATTCTTTAATGCTTTATACTAACATCTTATACGTTTTACAGAAGAAAATTCTAGAAAAAAAATGAAAGCATATCCACAGTAAATGAAATGCCTTTTTCTATGTTGATCTTTTGACTAATTATACTTAAGTGACAGTATAGCTGATTTTAGTCTGACGTAAGCTTAATACTATAAAGATTTCTAATGAGTCTATAATCAATCTTTCTTAAAAATATTTTATAGAACAAAATTTTTTGCTCTACATTTAATTTATCAATTTCAAAATATTTTTAAAATAATAAATAATATTATTTTTAATTTTACACAATGTTCTACCATCAATATCAAATATACGTGATTAATTGATTATAATTTGATGGAAAAAAAATTTTATTTGTACGAAAAAAAAACCAGGTGTCCACATCTTATGTCAAAAATCTTCTATCGAATATGACAAATTTTATGGCATAAGCTACTTACTTTTGTCAACGGACAAAACTTAGAACAGAAAATAAATATTCGCATTAACGATTATCTTGTTTATGTTTAATAATAATAAAAAAGAAATCTTTTGATTTATGATTTCATAAAGATCATCCACTAGACAGGTTATTAACAAAGAAAAACGCATTTCATCTGATCTTTTGTCTTATGACGTACAAAACAAACTCATCTACTATTAAAAGAAGATAACCTCACATTCGAAAGCAGCTAGTTTTTTTTCATACTAAAAAGCATAACGTTCAGTTCTCATAATATCTTTTCTTATGTCATTCTATGAATCGAAATCTAATTTGTTATATTATCTATGACGAGAATCGGAACATCTGTCAGCTATTGTCTAAGAAAAAATTTGATGAAGTACTAAAATAGCACTAAGAATTTTTTCTCTATGAAATTCTAATATTATTTTAGAAATTCTATTTCGTTCGTCATCTATTCTGATGTAATACAATATAAGAATTATACATAATGATACTTTTTTTTAATACTAATTAATTTTAAATTCGGGAGATTTATTTGAAATATAATACGATAACTTACAGTCATTAATATATTTGAAGATAACTTATATATAGGGTATTTCACTTTCAATAAAACTCCTACTTGCTCTAAAATAGTCATGTATTTTATGACTGTTATCGGATCATATTTGAAGTACACCATTCATATATAATATTTGACAATTATTTGTTTGTATTTATTGTCGATAACTTAAAAACTTATTATATTTAAACCTACCAGTATAATATTATTTGAATACAAAAAATTTAATTTAAAATATCTTGAAACTTTCTATCTATGTGAATTAAATCATATTTAAAAAAAATTTTGGTAATAGAATATCATCATTTTTGTAGCCAAAATAGAACTGTTAGTGTAATATTTTATCAATCATTTATATTGAAAAAAAATGGAATTATTTCAAGTCGGCATTAAAAGGATATAATGACATGGAATGTCACTATAGTTTTGTTCGTTTCTCATGCGATGATTTTTCTTTTTGATTATTATGTTGCCTATGTGTTCTTTTGTATTTGTAGTTAATCGTCACAATCATATACCGTGTCGATTTCAGTTTCATATTTAGTCTAGATTACAATTGGATTCCATTATCTGAACAATCATTAATTGTTTCTGGTCTAATGAAGTTTTTTAATATGTCAATAGATTAATTAATCTTGTTTGTGATTAGACTCACAATCGTGTAAATGAATCATATTATTATTATTTTTTTTCTTCTTTTTTCTTTGTCAAAATAATAATATTGATGACAACAAAAAATCAAAAAAGAAAAAGTTCAAAAAGCTTTTGGTCGTTTTCGTGCCGTATATTTTGAGTCGGGTCGAACATCTCTATAAAAAAAAACGATAATAAGTTTCTTTTGTATCAATACAAAGTCGATTATAAAATATATATTTCGATTTTTGACTGGAAAATGGAACTTATGTAGATGCGTAGAGGAAGGCTTCTTTCATCGAACGGTATATATATGTTGTCAAATACTGTTGTGTATCGTAGAAGAAAATTAAATTGAAAAAAATAACAATGAATTTCATATTGTTTATCCACTTAAATAATCTATGTCATTTTTTTTCTTATTTGAGTTATGATGGGATTTATAAAAGTTTGACAAGACAACTTCTACATAATTTTAATAGTGCTACTTAATATAGTATTTTTAGTTTTATGTTTGACAATCTAAAATATATATTTCAAATATATAGAGCTGTAGAGATTTCTTTACTCTTTAAAATAATGTGTAGAGCAGAGCTGGACATAGAACAACTTTATCTGTCCTGACGGGTGGCAAGACAATAAGACGACTTGTCCAAACATAACGCTGTTGCATTTTTGACACACTTTTTTTCACTAATCTCGAAATTTTTGAGAGCTAGAAAGTTCATTCGACACAGCTTATCACATTCTATTCGTGCTACAAGAATGACCGTTTTTGACTGCAGTCTCAGACTTCTAAAAACGTTTTATCATCGTGTAATACTGTTACATAAAAAGACCATGTTTCTCCAGTGCTGTTGATAAAACTCTAATTTCTTGAGACAGTATTTCTCGAAATGAAATACTTCTAGAGCCAGTGTTGTAGAACATAGAACGAGCTTTTAAGCGGTAAAAAAACAAACATAACGCTGTTACACCGTTTTTTTTGGTCGATTAATTTTGAGGAACTTAACGTACTCAGAAATATTTGATTTTCATAAATATTAGTCTTTTCTATATATCTACTCGTTCTATGCAAAAAATCTAGTTGCTACATCATTAATTGTACAGTAAGTTGGAAGTTATACAAGAATGTATAAGTTGTTCTTAGCAATGAAAAATCAAAAATAAATAGGCCATATTTGAGAGAAATATATTCTGCATTGAATGGGACGTCATTCAGTATTTTTCGAAAAGTTTGAAACTCGGTTTTCGATGCCAAAATCGAATCTTTTTAAAGAACAAATGTCAAATTCATAATTGGCGTAAAAAACTGCATCTAATATTGCATTTGGATGAGACTAACTCGAACAAAACTTTTTTCAAAAATTTTATCAGCGAAGTGTTGTGTTACGTGGACAAGCCTTTGTACAGTTTAATTTCTGCTTTTAATTTAACAATAAAATTAGTTTTATTCATTAAAAACGTTCGAGTAATTTTTCAGTTGTGTATGAACGATAGGAAATCAGAAAACGATCACGATATACTTGAATTTGCTTGCCGTATCTTGTTCATTTAAATTTTATCGGAAAAGAATAGTCTCAAATGAGAGTTTGACTGGAAATATCTACGAAAAAACGCGTCACTCTACATTTTGCAGTATAATATAAATTTCCTCTATGCAGTATAAGATCAAGAGCTGAAATTTTTACTATTTATATTACTGTTTGTTTTACATCTGCTAGAAAAATTTGAGTCAAATAGAATGATTCATTGAAAAGTTATAGAGCAGACAGTTTTCAAAATGTCACTCTAAAAAGTGTTTTTTAGAAAGTTCTACCATTTTTTCTTTGACACAAAGTTGATAAGAAAGCACTTGTTTTTTGCCAGTTTATTAGGGCAAGAATTATCTCTCTTCTCATATGATCTGCGCGCCACCAACTCTATGATAGAGAGAGCTAAAATTGGATTTGTGTCATTCTACACAAAAACATACAAGTCTTTGTCAAATAATGTGGACATTGGACGAGGAAAATAAGGAACGAATAAAATTAAAATCAACTACATATTTTGATAGAGTGTCAAACACTGTACAAACGGGACTATTCACATCCTTTTTCTCTTGTTTTATTATAGTCAAACAGTTTCCTTTTCATTGTACATATTACCAAAAAATGATGTTTTTTTTTTGTAACGTGTTTTTTCTATATCAACGAGCGTATAAGCTAGAGAGCCGAAATTGAGTGTCGGTATGTGACACTCAGAGTGGAATAACATATAAAAAAATTATCAAAATTGCCCAGCAGAAACGAAAGTTATTAGCCAAACGACAGCTAAAATCTCAATCATACTAAAAAGTTGCAATTTACTCAAGTATAAGAAAATTTAGAAACATGTGAATTTATTATTTCAATGACACAAACAAATATTTTAAAAAAATATGAACTTGCGGGATTTTATCATCACTATCTGAACATATAGTGGATACTATTAATAAAAAAAATTACTTGATAACAAAAATGAGAAAAAGAAAATATACAAAACAGAGGTGGGTACAGGACAACGTTTTGTCCTATGTCCAGCTGTAATGTAGAGTAGCCCTAGGCGACTATATGTTTTTCGATGACTTTTGACTATAAAAAAGAATATATATATATAGGTTGCTAGAGAAAGATTTTATCTAATAATGTATGCATTATCAAGTTCTACTGGGTACTGTTGACATGTTGATAGGTGGCCTCAACTATTGACATGTCAATGCTATGCAGCAGAACTTGATACTGTGTGCATCGTTAGACAGAGGAAGTCTTTCTTTACAAGTCTACATATATCCCATTCTCTAGTTAAAAGTGTATAGTCGTCTGTATTAATCCTTTACTGAAACATGATAATGTAAAATTGCGCATATTATATATAGTTGCCAGAGACAGAAAGTTTTGCAAAAATAAGTTCCAGAACACGAAGAAAGTCTCAAAAATCAGCAGATACAGTCAATGAATGTTAATACTAAATAATTCACGGTCTTTTTTAAAGAGTAGAGTAGTTTTCATTAGCATCTTTATTAATAATATTATTTTCTAATTCCTCTTCATCGATTATTTCGAAAGAGCAAAGAAATCTCTACAATTCTGTATATTTGAAATATATTTCAAATTGTCAAACATGAATGTATAAATACTGTTTTAAGTAATATTATAACTCAAATAGAATTCTATAATATATATACCGTTGGATAGAGAAAATCTTCCTCTATAAACCTACATAAATCGTGTTCTCTGGTTAAAATGTTATAATCGCCTTTAGAAAATATAGTTAAGTTTTTTTGTTGCTTATTAATATCATACCTTCCTTTGTTTCTCCAACGTTCTTTTTTTTCCATAATCCATGTACGGCTTTTTTTTAATGATTTACCACGAAGATTTTTATAACGTTGTCTATGATATTAAACATTTTTTTTTGTTGTTGTATTCGTATTGTTTTTTTCTTACCTTTCTCTATCAAATCGTGCTTGACTCGGAATTTCTTCACTACCTTCTTCACCTGTTAAACCTTTAGGTAATTGTTGAACTTGACCACCAGCAAACAAACATAAAAACATTCTTTATAAAAAAACAAAAGAAATAAGAAATAACAATTCATAGTTACAGTAGTGAACAAAAGTCTCTCCCACTCCTCGCATATCAGCTAATATATAGGCCAGTAGAGGCTATTGAAAAAGATTGTCTACTCAATTTTTCGTTACCTGTTATCAAATACACGACTAATTGTTGATATTTTAGCATGTAAATAGAGCCTAATCCATGCTCTTTTTTATTGTCGGTAGTAGTGCTCAACGACAGATCAAAGTTTATGTACAAGTTTCAGCTCGATTTGCTGAACTATTACTGAGTTATAGTTTCTAAAGGCCAGCAAATAGTTTTTCTCTACCCGCATGATCATGGAAAAATAACTACAATTCTAGGAAGGATTGATGAAATTAATACGGTAAATGGCCGAAACAAGCTTCTAAATAATGAAGCATAGACCAATAGATAAATTTCTTCTTTTTCAGAGTTATGAAGTTAAAAGGATAAATAGATATAATCCTTCATAATTCGTGTTTCGTTTAAACAATCAAGATAAACTCATATTTTAGACCTGCATTCTCAGTGAAGTATATGCACGCAAATTTTCCGATCTATAGTATGTATGGTAGGTGAGATATGGTGAGGTGGAGCACTTTTGTCCATTAGTGTATTTACTTCTTTGCTCGTGTACTATTTGGATAATCTACAACAAGACCACCAGTAAAACCAGCTTTCATTGCTTGTTGCGTGATCATATCAACCTGAAAAGAGTAAAAGAAAAAGATTTTAAAAAATTAATTTATATTTTACTTGATTTGGTGTTTCTGGATAAAACTGGAGTACAGCTCGAGCACCACGAGCCTAAATAAATCATCAATCAAAAAAGAAAACTTCACTTTTTCTCTATCCTACCAAACAACTATAAAGTGTTGAAAAAAATTTATAAAGTCGTTTTACTGGATTATGATAACTTTTATCAGCTTGACATAACCATTGTAATGCTGAAATACTAAAAACAAAAACAGTAATACTTTAATTATTTTTTTTCGATCAATTTAATATATCGTTCATTACCTTATAGCACCATCGAAAGAACCAGCACGAAATGGCATTCCATAACCAATATCACCTAATATAAGATCACCTTCACTTTCTCGTTCTTGTGCTACATCTAAAAAATGACAACTAATATTAATATAGAACTTATGAGAGAACATATCCTAAGTATCAAACATCGTTTTATAACTACGAGTAAGTCTTGGTGAGACTAGGAAAAGCTTAAAAGGATTTAAGCTTTTAATAGTTCTGAAAATTTCAACGAAAATGAACATTTCTTTCTTGAAATGTTCAATTTCTAAGCAAAGTCGGTTTTTTGTGCATACTTACGATCAATAACTCTTCATCAGTAGGCCACGAGTCCGAATCCTTTTAAGCTTTTCTTAGTATCATCAAGACTTACTCGTAGTTATAAAATGATGTTCGACTATTGGGATATCTTCTCTCGTTAGTTTAAAAACGAACCTAACATTGCTTGTGATATATCAAGTCCAATCCATTGATGACCTAACTCTGTTAGTACTTCTCCACTTAAACCAGAACCACATCTGAATAACAAAATGATGATATATATATATATAGAAATTTTGTTTTTATTTTCTTACCCAATATCAAGTACTAAACATGATTCTTCATCAGGTAAATTAAGTAATTCAATAGCACGTTCAGATAATTTTGTTTGTACATCAATAATATGTGTACTAAAAAATGAATATTTAATTTTTTTAAATTCATGTTTTAGAATTAAAATATACTTTTGCGAATATTTTCGAGCTTCTTCTTCGTTATAAAACTAAAATAACAATTCATCGAAAAAAAAATTATTGTCAAAGATTAATACATTTATGTATATCAACATACAATATCTGGTGGACCTTGATGTTCAGGTCGTTTTGATGCCATGATAAAATTTTCGGTAAGTAATGTATTATGAAAATCTACTTTATACTTATTGAGGATCTATGTTTTATTATTGGAGAAAATCAATGAACAATATAAGTATTAAAATGATAGATGGCGCTCTATAGCAATAAGAGAAATTAAATTGTGAAATTTTTTTCTAAAGCATTTATTAATTTAGATTTTTCAATATCTAAATTTTTATAAAGAATAATTCTAAGAGTTATACCAAGCTTTGAGTATAAAATATTGAATTGAAATTATGTCTAGTAAAAAAAAACAGTTGCATAATGAATTCGGTATTGCTTTTGGGTAATCTTTTGATCGGAGTTATCCACTCCGTACACATTTCTTTTATAAAATCGAAGAGATGTTTCGAATTGTCGAAAATAATATTTCAAAAAAGCGATAGGATAAAAGATTCGCATAGCTCTTCAACAATTCAAGCAATTCGCTCGAGTCTTCTATACTTTAATTTGTTGTTTTTTGAGTTTTATTCAACGCCAAATGGAGTTACCTACGATTGTAAAACGAAGCTTGCCATCAGAATTTCATGAATGAATGGCAGATGAAAATGGTATTAAAGAGATCTTCAAGCCCTTTTATGAAACTGATACTCAAGACGTCCTACTGTATTGACCAAAAAAAAATGTTGATGAAGTTTATGTTATTATTGAAAGTATATTGGCAACAAGTGTTCTGACTGTTCGAAATATTTTTTTAAATAACATTCTAAATTGTAATAGAACACACAAGGAAGTCTTCCAGTGTCAAATCCCTTTTCGACCGAAACGATATTCATTTAATAAGTACTAGTGAATAATACAAAAGTCTAGAATGGTTTGATTTTCGAGGTCTTCGTTCTTGAGATGTCAATATTTTTCTTGGTTTTCCAACAAAAAATTCTGGTCAAGTGAAGAATCAACTTTCGAGTTTCGACTGCAAACTTTCCATGACGAAAGTTCCTGAGGGAATTAGTTGATTGTGCAACTAGTATTTCCTTTCTGAAGATGTAAATATATGAACAAAATTTGCTTTTACATATGAGAAAATTTCGAATATTCCATATCTTAGGATAAGAGATGTTAGAAAAGTCATATTTTGTCCAATGAACTAATCTCATTGAGAACTTGTTTCGTGCAAAGTTTAAAGTTGAAACACGATTTTTCCCATGATCACAGCTTTTTGTTGAAAGATCCAATAAATTTTGATAATTCGAGAACGAAGGTCCGGGAAATCAAACTCTTCTAGACTTTTCTATTACTATCTAGCACTCAACAAATGAATATCGTCTTAGTCGAAAAGTAATTTGATACCTGGAGAGATTCTCTTATCAGCTTAGTTCTTAACTTAGGAACTTACTTAGTTACTTACTTAAGTTGGTTATTAACTTGGCACATCACTATCATTACTAAATACAATTAAGATCAATACACATTATATTAGATCGTTTTTCATATTACGGATATCATCTCAGAACATTGCCGAAATTCAAGTTATCGAATTTCGTCAATGAGCATCCTGACCGTCTTTCAGGGAATCTCTCTCTCACGAATGTTTACACAAAAAAAAAGCTGAAATTATGAATTTCAAAAAGTTGCTAAGATATGTCAGCCTTGATTGTTAAAGTACGATTTCAATGCATAGTCAAGTTGTCGAATGAGAAGCAGCAACTGATGTAAAAAGAATATTTTTTATTATTCTCATTCATTGATAATCTTATTAAGCCGATTTCAAAATACAAAAATTGAATTGTTTGTTTAGAGGTTTTGAATGTTTTTTGGAAAAGATTTTAGTCTTTCTATTAAGTATGGTACGAAAACTAGAAGCATATACCGATGACATGTGAAACTTTTTTATTCTTTTAATTTTAACACTACTTTGCGTAGTATCGACGTAGGCGTGACTTGTGAATCAAAATGTGTCCTTAGAAGACTATATTTTTTTAATAAAAGATAGTAATACATTCTGAAATTTTATGTTCTACTGTTTCTTATTTTGTTTCAATAAAAGCTATTTGTTCATGAAGTTCTAATTTTTTTTTCTTATATAAAAATGATACGGAGAATCCTAAATGCGCAAGGACATTATCTGATTTATTTCAAAAACAATTCATACTAACTCAGAAATAATCATTTAGAAATCGTTGTCATCTTGATAGAGCCTTGGTGCTGTAACTGGAAAAAATTAGTTCTTAATGTACACTAAGTTGATCTGGTAACATTTGAATTTTGTTGACAGTTTTGCTTTTCAAAATGAATTTCTCTTTTTATAATTTGTTTTTATTTATTATTACAATGTCCTTCAAAAAGAGTGGAATGTATTCATTTCAAACATAAGACATTCAGTAGAAAATCTCTATTAGATAAGTAACATATCAATTGTATGTCAAGCATGAAGTTGTTACCAGAATCTGAAAAGATAATGATAAAGAAACGTAAAAGAAAATTGTTTATAGTACAATTAAAAAGAATGATTTTAGTTCAGTCAAGTCGAATAAGAGGATATTTCCTTTTAATAAAAAAAAAACTAAAGTTGCTCTATCAAAATATTTATTTTTTAATCTTTTCTTAAAATCTCAGCGAACTATATCAAGGACCACTTCTAGAAAATTGTTTCTTCCTACGTATTAATGAAAAGAGCTCATTATATAATGCTACGCATTTCATAAGAATCGAACAAAAAGAAAATTTCATTAGAATACAATACACCAGTTAACTGTTAGTCATTTGACAAATTAACAATGCCATTAGGTTTGATGAAATGAATATTTTAATTCTTTTTTAATTAATATGTCGTTTCCTTTTAGTACGTATTCTTATTATCATTGCCCTTTTAACAATAACAATAAGCGATGGTTTGCCAAATGTATATCCACCTTCTTCCAATGAAGATCTATCAACAGTTGCTGTTAAACCAATTATTGCACGCAGAGAATATTTCGATCCGTATGGTTTTAATTCAATTTTAAGTCGATTTATTAAACGTTCGAATCTGTACGACACTGATGACAACAAGAAGTGTTTTTCAGATGAAATTAATATTGCTTAATGATTTTAAATAATATATATGATGGTGTTTAAATAAATTTTGAATACAGAAATGTTTTCTGTTCCAATTGAAAAGCACAAATACATTAATTTCTCCTTCAAATAAAACCATTTTGTCATATTTTGAATTTGAAAAAAAATATGTATTCCAAATTTGATGTGATATCATATTTAGTTTTGCTTGGTACGATTCATCCATACTGTATTGTTTTTGTAACAAACTGTTCAAAGATATACCGACTACAGCCGTACTTGACTAAAATCTCGCTATTATATCTTTATGTTCATATAGATTATAATATGAATTTGACATACAATCAAATGCAGAAAGACTCTTAGAATGAAACTTCTATTTAAAAAAATCACCTAATAACCATATTTTAATTTGTGAATTATAAAATATTTCAATGATAATGGTTCTATGGTTTATTTATTTAGAAATGTGTCAATTTTGATACATGAATTTTTATATATTAATTGTATATTAATACAATTTAATATGAACTAGATAACTAGAGAATTTTATGGTCAATTACAGCAGATGCCAAGTACATCGGGATGAAGAGTATTTAAAAAAGCATGAATACGTTATTTACTAGATAGATATACACTAATGCCAAACTTTTAATGTTTATAGCAGTGTATTGTAAATAATATTGACTAGGATTGATTTTGGTTTTTTGTCAAACTTTTTTAAATTGAATTGAATCTAGCTGTGTATTTGTAGTATTTATTTTGTTGGAGATACATTTTGGTTTTTCATATAAGTATTGATTATAGATGAAAGAAAAACTTGACTAATGTACTTTTATATTTGTTTTCTAAAATATGTCTGTGAATCTTGACATCGATGCATATGTCACATTAGAAAAATTATGCAATCTCTCTTGAAAATAAATTGCTATAGTATGAATATCGTTTGCCTTCTTAAACTATTTTTTTCTTGTGTGTTTCTACCAATGTATTATTTACTATAAGCAACACGAGGTTTTTGTTTCTAACGTTTTTGTTATTTCTAATGAAAGTTTCAATGATTACAAAAACAACATAGTTTTTCTTATGAGGATCGTTGTCAGAACTTGATAAATAAATATCATTGAAAGATATGCAAAGAATGATGTTGGTTTATTATTACTATTATCTAACGTATGATTAGATTATTTTGTTAAAATATTCACGAATAAAATTATAAGTTATGAGATTTTTATATTAAATCACAAAATAATCAACATATATATATATATGTGTGGGTTATATATGATTTAGAAGCCAATATATTCTAAGAAAATCATACGGACGTAAGTTTTATTCTAAACCGAAGCTAGAAAAATAACAATTAAGTCATATATAATAGTCTCTCTTACGATGGAAGATTCTCAACTGATCCACGTCGTTTTCGATGATATTTTGTCCATATGTTGGGAACATTATTGTAAGAAAAATCCTAAGCAGGTTTGAGCTGATGGAACTTACTTTCAGATTGTAATTCTGTTGTTCAATATTTCTTTATAAGCCTTGTGGTACGGGAAAAAATCAGTAAAATGATCATAACCTTTGAAGTAAGTCCCATCAGCTCAAGCCCACTTAGGATTTTTCTTAGAATAATGTTCTCAACATATGAACAACATGGCACTAGTACATTTCGTCGCAAAAAAATTCTTTCGCTCTGTTTTTTACAGAAAAATTTATTTCGTTCTGTTCGTCGCTATCTACTTGTTGCAACCCTTATAATTAATTCTTTTTTTTTTTCTATACACAATCGAAACAAAATAAAATAAATGAAAAATTACAACAGATATGTAGAGTGTTCTCTCTTTCTCTCGTACTTTTAGTGTTATAGCATCATTATATGATATCACTATGCATGCATATTAGTTGAAAACAAAGATTTGTGGATGTAGAAGTCTATGAGTTCCCATAGACTTTCTAAACTCAAAATCGTTCAAAGTCCTATGAAACCAAACAGAAATTCGTGAACTTGCGCAGAATCCCAGAACTATTGTTGTCCTGAGGAGTTGCGATTATTGCTAGAGCTCTAATCTTACAAAAACTCAGATGTTCAATTTTATTAGATCTGCATTATAATATGGGGTCATAAGATTATTCATGGGATTATGCAAAGGATTTCATATGGTTTTGGGTCACTTTACTCGATTCTGCTATTCCAGAATTTTATTGCGTTAGTTGAAGCCTGATACAATCCATCGATTTGCTTGGACGTATATATGGTATTTTAGACTTTTATGAGCAAACTCAAACCTTTTCCCGTATTTCCAAAAACCCCGTAACCAAAGGGGTAATTATTCTACGATTGCAACTAGTATCATTAAGCGACAATGAAAAAACAGAGCATATTAGATGTATTTCCATTTTCGAGATTAATAGAAAATAGGTCTTTTTTTGTGCAACAGTCCTTTACTGGAAACTATTTGTGATCATTAATAAGCTACTGAAAAGTTATGTTAAAAAATATGGACTTCTGTCTTTTCTTTGCGCGTTTTGAAGAGTAAGGTAAACTCGGCAAAATAAAATGCGAGTGTAGATATGTCTTCTCCGTGACGAAAGTCAGACTAACACTTAAATACCCAGACCACCAACAGTATCTACAAGTTCAGTTAGCAGACACACCTATACTCACCCACAAATTCACACCATACCCTTCCGAAAAACTAGTTATATATCCACGAATCCAACCTACTTTAAATTTACCTCGTTATCGTCCTATGACCGCAGTGTGATTAGAGTCTCTTATTAGAATCAGCCGAAGATATTGATGAGCTATCAGATGAGTTCTTTCTCGTAGGACTGAATGCTACTTGCACTCTTAATTTTTTCTTCTTTCTTTTTAACGACTAATCAAACGGAAATCGTAAAATAAAATATTAAGAATAATTTAAAGTCACTTAGTAACTGTGCTGCGATGGCCGAGTGGTTAAGGCGTCTGACTAGAAACACGAAGTGCAAGTGACAAGCTATCAGATGGGTTCTCCCGCGTAGGTTCGAATCCTACTCGCAGCGTTTTATTTTTTTAAACTCATTTTTAATGCTTTGTTACATGAAAAAGATGAAATCGAATACTAACAAAATTTTCAATTGATTTAGTAATCGTGCTGTGATGGCCGAGCGGTTAAGGCGTCTGACTTGAATCACAAAGTGTAAGTGACAAGTAATCAGATGGGTTCTCCCGCGTAGGTTCGAATCCTACTCGCAGCGTTAATTTTTTTTTTCTTCAATTAATTCTTACTACTGTGCTGTGAAGAAAGTCTTTTCATGATTATTTTTTATTATTAATGTTTCATTTGTGAACCATACGATTTTAATTCCGAAGAACTCAGAAGTATAGTAATACGACGACATTCATACATTTAATGAGTGTTTTAAATCGATTAAATGGTATTTAAGACCTCTTTGCAGTAATAGACCTTTTTAGGGTCATTCCTTCAAAAATCGATCTCTGCCCAGGAACATCTAAATGTCATGAAACTTTGAGAATATGTTGGGGCCGTGAAAGGACGTCTGTGGTAAAATTTTTAGCCTCCTATCCTGATGTTTTAGGGAGATATAAATCAAACAAGGGTCAAAAATAGCTTATCGCGTCTCCAAAAATTCTCTGTGACCCTTCATTCTATATGTTTGATTTGTTTTTGTTTGGAAGAGCATGTCCAGCTGCAGTGCCTATGAGGATCCTTTTTTTAAACTCTTACTTATTAATGAAACAAATCTTATCTCATTTATAGTTCTATATTAATCTAAGTCTTATCATTCCCTCATTATTTTAGATAAAACACCGAATAGTAAAAAGTGTTTCCTCGTACTTCTAGTAAGTTATACATTCTATTAACTTAAAGTGAAGAAAAAAAAAACGTTTAATAAGTAAAATATTTTCGTTTTTTCTTTTTCTATAATGTTAAACATCTAGCCTAAACTCAGATAATGATTGTAATAGTCAATGAATTTTTTTATCTAATGTATTCTATAACAAGATTTCATAGATAAATTATGATAGCAAGATTTCTAAAAAAACCGAACATAGTAATTTCTAGGTTTGAGAAGACTTTGTTGGATTTATTTTTTTTAACAATGCTGTCTTATCTTAAAAAGCTTCAATTTTTGACAATTTTTCTGATATCTTTAACATTTTAAGCGAAGATCATAGAAAATACGGTGATTCTTCATTTTCTTCAAAATTTTTGTTTTCTTTTCTGTAGAGTTGTTAAAAATATCTTCAAGAAAGTCTTCTCAGACATGAACTTTGGTATCACAGTTCATCTATGAAATCTTGGTATAGAACGCATTAGGTATAAAATTCTATTGCCTATTTAAATTATTATTTTTATCTGACCTAGATGTTCAATCTCACAGAACTTACGACGTTCATTTAGTAATTTACCCATAACATTATGCTCTAATTCTAATGGTTCACTAACTTGAACTTGTATACTAAACAAGTCTAACATAATCTTTACCACTAGCAGTCACTTGTAATAGTGCATCTTGTGATGATGGAGCTGTTTGAACAAGATTATCAAGACATGATATTACTGTACTACATTGATTTGTTGTAGGTATGCACCAGTTCCAGTTCCAGTTCCGATTGATCGACTCGATACCAGCCAGCTCTACTGAATATCCAGTAAACTGATCTAGAGTTAATTCTATAATCAGTATTATTGTTTTTGACAAAAAGTTGTCGGAATCGAGAAATTCGAATCTCTAATCAGTTTCTCGAAATTGTATAAAGTCCTCGACACATTAGAACATTCCGCTTCCACTAAATAAACATAGAACATCTCTTATAGATAATGATCTAAGCTCACACTCTCATCTACTGCCGTTAAATATCAATCATTATCATATTGATCAAGATCTGATTCAGAAAGAGATGAACCAATTACAAATGTAATAATGAAAAGTTAATATAAACGGCTGTTGAAGGATATACTGGAAAACTAAACAATCTTTTTTTTTTATCTATTTGTTCGTATGAAATTGCTATATTTT